ATTGTGAAGAACAAAAGACCTGAGAGAAATACCCAAAACCTGTAAATCCTTGTAAAAGTGTTTTTCAAAAACACTGGAAGTGTTAAAATATAAAAAATTGACCTAATTAAATGGAAAACAGGAGATTTTAAAGATAAAACCCCTCCCCAGCGTAAAATCCCAAGCGATTTCAAGGGATGTAACATATGAAGGGAACAATCATAACAGGCCAAGACACTTTTGAAAAACTGTCAGAACTTGCCATTTGGTATATCAAAACCTAGAGTTACAACAATCAAAACATGCACTTACTAACAGGAATAGAAATTTAAAAAGAGGTGTACACCAACTCCAGTTTGGCTATCTGTGGAAATTTAGATGCCATTTCAAAGCCATTCCATGGAATAAATGGCCATATACTGTGTTTAGACAAAATTAGACAGTACCTCAGTTCCTTAGTATCTTTAAGGAATAAGAAAAGTTTACTAAAGTTCAATCCTATTTTAAGCACACCCATGTTATAACTATAGATTTATGGAAAACAAGAGTCTGAAATTTTTTCTTGAGAAAACAATAAGTATCCAGGAGTTAATCGGACGCTCACAAGCTAGACGTCATTATTACAAATATGCACAAGAAGCCCTACACTTGACAGCAAATGTCTACATTTCCAGTTCCCGCCTTGCTTATTTCATCTACTTGAATTGGTCTGAGTTTTGATTCCATTGATCCAAGCACTCCTCTTCACCTTCTTTCCCTTTCCTTTCTTGAAAACTGTCAGGCTGGATACGGCAAGGGAAACTCACCATTCATACTAGGCCAGTTTCACATCTGTCCCTCCCATGAAACCAAATGAGAAGGCATTCACAGCGCAGTTACGGATAAGGCTATGTAGCAAAACAGGGGTGCTAGAAATCAGAAGGTTAAATGCTCTGTTAGACAAGAAAATTAGAAAAGTATGTTCTGATCAAGTCACATCCAATCCATGGAGAAGATTCAGGAGTCTAAGGTGACCCAGAATGTGACACTTCAACCCCTTACCCTTCACAATCAATCACACCATTTGGGTTCGCCGGGTATCAAGTCTTCTACTCACGCCCTGCTTTAAAAAAGAGTCATAATGAAGATTTCAGTGCCTCCTGAGGCATCCCAATGTTAGTTTTTTTTTGGAGAAGAGTCCCCCTTTTCGAAAAAGTTTTTTCATAGGCAAGGAATTTTTAAAACTGTGACTATTCATTTAGGCCAAGCCATAACGGAAAGGAAAGGAAAAGATGCAGTTTGTGTGGCTTGGGAGGGAGGGATATTTTCTTGGCCACCTCAAATTCACTGGGAAGTAGGTATAGTATAATAAGCAGTTATCATCTCACTGAGAGATCCAACAATTACTTCACAAGGGACCATTAAGGAATTGGGGTCACTGTTTAATCATCCTCACTCAACAGGTAAGGGGTAAAACGTCAAGTGCAACTACAGAGATTGCCAAAGGGTCCCACATGGACTTGACAAATTACCTAACACTTTAAAATCAGTCCACACAAGGGAACCCCAGTCACTTAAGAAGCCTGAAAACAAGGATCTAAAGGCACATGTTCTAAATATACTTCCTGTTACTTAGTATCTTAAAAATAGAAGTTACTGAAGTTCAATCCCATTTAAAGAACACCCATATTATAAACTACAGATTTAAGAAAACAAGAGGTCTAGAAATTTTTCTTGAGAAACAAATTAAGTATCCAGGAGTTAATCAGATACTCACAGCTAGACATCATTATTACAAACTAATCTGACACAGCTAACTCACATCATTCTACTACAGGAAGGAGACAAGCAATCTCATTAAACATCTACACCAAACAAGGTCACTCTGAGACAATGACAAAGTGAAACAAAACATGATCACTGTGAAACCCACAAAATACAAACATATCCCATTCTCGGCAAAATTGAGTAACCACCACTTCTTTACCAATTACGGCTGTAGCCTGGCTCTAATCTGCCTTCCCTAAAGGTACTGAGATACCCAATCACAGAATCGCTCCCACTTTCTGAAAACACCCAATGACAGAATCCCTCCCACTTTCTGAAAACACCCAACCACAGAATCGCTCCCACTTTCTGAAAACACCCAATCTGAAAAGAACCTTTGCTTCCCTGCTTCCACCAACCCTTCCCAATATTACCCAACCAAAGCCCAAAGTTCCCAATAGGTTCTTTCTAATACCCCTTTCCTTTCTTTAATGTGTTTTCCCCTCAATGCAATGAACAATAAACCCAAGTTTGTTCAATATGTTCCTAGAAGTCTCTGTCTGAGGGCACAAATGATTCATCATTTTACCAATTTCCCTTTTCTTTCACCATCAGGCTCCCTCATACACTTACATTTTGATAAAACCGAATTTAACTTCATTTGCAAATAAACTTTTCAGGATCCTAGCTATTGCATAGAAGCATGCTACATCTGTAAGACAAAATGTCTCTGGCAGAGACTCTGAGTGCATCAAGATTTTTAATCCATTATTTAAGAAATACTGAAGACATTTCCTTCTTAATATACAGAGAATCCTCTATACCAAGAACTCTGAAAACCAGGTAGCTTTTTCTTCTAATGCTCAAAGCATGGCAAACCATGATGACATCAATAGGACCACATTTTCCAATTTTACAAGTTCTGAAAATACCGACTGTACACTCAGGGGATTTTACAGCCCTATAGTAACAAGCGGTTTTTCTGGACACTCTAGGTTCTAAGACCCAATCGCAGACGGGAAGAGACCAACAATATAGATAAATCCCACAGACATAATGCTGGGAGAAAGACATTAAACACTTAAAGAGTACGCACTGTCTAATTCCAGTTAAGCAGAGTTCAAACTCCGCACAGTGGCTACTCTTGGAGGGATAATGGCTGGAAGGGGGCACAGTGGGGTCCAGGTATTAGTAATATTCTGTTTCTGATCTGGGTGCAAGTTACACATGTGCCTTCAATCTGTGAAAATTAATCAAAATGTACACTTACCGTATGTGTATAAGTTATACTCCAAAAAAAGTTTTCAAAAGGAAAAGATAAAGCGGTAGCATGTCACAGAGCAGCCTCCACTTAACTAAGGCTCTGACAGTGGCATACGTCCTCTATTTAGGCCAGTTCCTTAACCTCTTTGAGACACATCTTCCATCTGTAAATGAGGATAAATCTTATACTCACAGGCTCCTTTTGAGAGTTATGTGAGTTACTGCTTGTATTGAGCCTGGTGCACAGAGGATGGTGGTTCAAACCACTGATGTCCTGCTGTTCAGTCTCTGCCCAGTGCTACCTCTGTGCAACTTGGGAAGGAACGATCAGTTCTGACATGATCACAGATGACCACCTTTCTATAATCTGGCAGAGCACGGCGTCATCTGCCCCGGCCCCTGATGCACTCCCTTTATCTCCTCCTTCCCCAACCAAAGCCCTTCAGTCCGGCCCAGCAGGTCCCAACAGTCTCCTCAGCCATGTGCCTTCTGACTAAATCCACCATCATAGCCATCTTCAACCAATACCTTATCTACTGTTTTCACTGTGTTATCACAGATGTCACCACGAAGTGTGTTCACTTCCTACCACTCACCACTGTTGCTGGGCCCCGATACTGACAGCAACCCCAGCCCAGAGAATGAGAGGTCCAGGGCAATCCCTGAGAAGTAGGTGTGAGCCAGAGTGTGATGTGTCCTGTAAGACTTAAGAATGGTTTTAAGATGAACATCCCGGCAGCACATTCATAAGAAAAAAAGAAACTACTGGGGCTTTACATGGGGGAAATTCCACCTTCTTTATCTTGGTGTCCCAGAAGGGGCATGATGAGGTGAGACAATTTACACCCCTTTCCTCTGAGGGATCAGCTGAGGCCCTAGGAAAATTTCAGATTCATTTTGGGCTAATTTTTATACATCAATTCATTCTAAAATTCACTGGGGGGTTCTCTGCATAAAGGTGTAAGATTTTAAAGGGAGAGGAGGCATGGATGGCCAGAGGAGGAAAAAAAGTCCAGATATTCAAGACCGAAGACCAAAAGTTGAAAACTTACACACACATGCTAATGCAACAGGTAGGTATGCATTTTGAAACTCTTGCTGGAACATTCCCTGGCTGCCGAGCAGTTTTTGTTGCCCCCAAAAGCTGAAGGAGCTCGTACTTGGTATTAAGGACCTAAAGAAAAACAATTTCTGTGGGAAGTCCCCATGAAGGGGAACTATGTGTGATAGGGGTAGACGTAAACCGTGCAAAAACTCCTCCACCCTCCAGCGTCCCTGTTCCTTGGGAGGAGCGGGCAACCTGAATACTTACCGAAATGGAAGTGCTCTTATATCCAAACCTGATTTTCGGTATGGTTGGGCAAAAGGGGGAACAGAAACAGGAGAGGGGAAGGAGAGGGAGGGAGAACGACAAGCCCGGGGAGAAATGGTGACAGTGGAAGTGGTAACATTAAAAATTAGTGAAACTGGCCAGGCGTGGTGGCTCAACGCCTGTAATCCCCCAACACTTTGGGAGGCTGAGGCCAAGTGGGACTCCGGGAAAGAGCCCCTGAGGTCAGGAGATCGAGACATCCTCGCGGTAACTACCACCGTGAAACCCGCCCACCTCTACTAAAACACAAAAATACAAGGCGCGGGCATGGTGGCATGGCACTGTAATCCCAGAGCTACTCAGGAGGCCTGAGCAGGAGAATCCCTTGAACCTCGGGAAGGTGGAGGTTGCACGTGAGCCAAGATCACCGCCACTCGCCACTCCAGTCCTGGGGTGATCCGAGAGCAAGACGCTGTCTCAAAAACAAAAAAAAAAAAAAAAAAGAAAAGAAAAATTAGTAAAACTAGGTGAGGGGGTGTAAGGGGTGTACCTATTGATTGCACTCGTTAACTGAAAAAAAAAACAAACTTTAAATCCCGTAGAAAAAGAAAAAAATGATATATTTGTACCCCAAAACACTATGAGTCCCAGGGACTTGGAAAGGGTCCTATCCAACTGGGTCCATGCCCACTGGGGTCCTCTCCATTCTCTGTTCCACTCAAGGACTCTGAGTCTTAAGTCTTTAGGTTAAATACCATGTATCTTTGCAATAAGCAGAGAACACTGTCAGTTATGCAAAAGGACTAAAGTATAAGAAATGAGTGAATATGTGATACTGGAAGCTATAGGACAGGGAACAAGGAAAGGAAATAAACTCTCCCTTTAAACTTCCAAGGAAAATGATGGTATCAATACCTTGCAAAGATATTGCAGAATCAAAAACTAAAGAATTGTACTCAGATGTCCCTGAATGAGCCAACTACACATAGTGATATTTAGAAGCAATGCTAATACCTTTCATGGGAGCCATCATCTCCCTCTTGCTCTGCATTTAGAAATCTAGACTTCCCTTTTCTTCTCTTTGCTCTTTTCGAATTCATCAGCTGAACCTATGTCAGCACAGGCTGAATACAGGGAAAAACTTTAATGAATTAAAAAGTTTTACTGGAAGGGTTACCTCAAAATATAAATCCTATCCAACCTGGACCATAATATTAAAATCTTATGTTCTTTTTTGTTGGTTTGCACGTACAAAATTGGAGTCCAACTCAACTGATTATTTAATGAGGAAACGCACTTTCCTCAAAACTCCTAAACTGTATTTGAGAACAGAGGGCTAAGATCCCTATCACATAATACTGATGGTGATCAGATAGAGCCCTGGCCTTTAAGAAACTGTATGCAGTATAAACTGGATAAAGTTTAATGTATTGTTTGTCAGAGTTCAAAATCCTCACATTTGACAGAAGCCCCCAAACTTTGAACAAAATTTCCCCAACATTTTCTAGCATTTTTATCAAGACCACCACCCTTCTTATGTGACTTGAGACAGTGGATCCATACAAACCAGGAAGACATGTCTTTAAATGGGCTTCCAAAAACAGTTTTAAACTCCCACATCAACCAAATCTGCAGATTCTTACTAAGAAGGGCATTTGGTACTAAAAGCATTTTATCTTTGTTCTCCACTTACTTCTGAGGCATTTAAGCAAAGAGGGAGTTTTAATGTTAAGAAAGTTGACTAAGTTTCAGGAAAAAAAATAAAGGTAAGTAACATGGCAATTTGTTCTAAGTAAAAGCAACCCCTTCAAAACAAATACAAAAATAAGATGTTCCCTCCTACAGGACCAAAAAAAGAAGGCAAGAATACAAAAAGAAAAAAGGATTTCAGGTCGAGAGAGTGACGACAATAAGCAAAAGATGACTTACTGCTGCCCAAGTGAATACAAACAAAATTTCAAAAGCACATACTCTAAAAACTGGTAATTCTACTCCTAGATTATCCTACAGATAATAAAAACCATTGCTATGACTTGTTAAAAAATTTTGAAAGAATGTTTCCTGTGACTTGCTTTATAGAAAGAAAGAGACTGAAAACAATTAACAGAAGAAGAGTTAAAGAGAGTACTCCCATTTCCCAGAATACTTTACAGCAAGCCCTTGCAAAGAATGGGGCAATTCTATACTCAGTGATGGGGATAAACTCATGAGATGTGTAAAGTGGAAAAAAAAAATCAAGATACAGAACAGCATGTACAATATGCTCCCATTTCTGGGTATCTTTTAAGAGGACAATATAGGCACACAATTGCATTTGCATAATATGTATCCAGAAAAACACTTAAGGCATAAGATGGCATTCTCTGTTCCATCAATGGACTCTGAGTCTTAAGTCTTTGAGTTAAATACCATGTATCTTTGCAATAAGCAGAGAACACTGTCAGTTATGCAAAGGACTAAAGTATAGAAATGAGTGAAATGTGATACTGGAAGCTATAGGACAGGGAACAAGGAAAGGAAATAAACTCTCCCTTTTAAGACTTCCAAGTGAAATGATGGTATCAATACCTTGCAAAGATATTGCAGAATCAAAAACTAAGATGTACTCAGATGTCCCTGATGAGCCAACTATCACAAGTGATATTAGAAGCAATGCTAATACCTTTCATGGGAGCCATCATCTCCCTCTTGCTCTGCATTTAGAAATCTAGACTTTCCTTTTTCTTCTCTTTGCTCTTTCGAATTCTATCAGCTGAACCTATGTCAGCACAGGCTGAATACAGGGAAAAACTTAATGAATTAAAAAGTTTTACTGGAAGGTTACTCAAAATTATAAATCCTATCCAACTGGACCATAATATTAAAAGTTTATGTTCTTTTTGTTGGTTTGACGTACACAAATTGGAGTCAACTCAATTGATTATTTAATGAGGAAACGCACTTTCCTCCAAAACTCCCTAAACTGTATTTGAGAACTACACACATGCTAATCAACAGGTAGTATGCATTTTGAAAACTTTGCTGAACATCCTGGCTGCCGAGCAGTTTTTGTTGCCCCAAAACTGAGGAGCTCTACTTGGTATTAAGACCAAAGAAAACAATTTTCTTGTGGGAGTCCCCATGAAGGGGACTATGTGTGATAGGGTAGACGTAACCTCAAAAACATCCTCACTCCACGTCCCTGTCCTTGGGAGGGGCACACTGAATACTTACGAATGAAGTGCTCTTATATCCAAAACCTGCTTTCGGATGGTTGGGCAAAAGGGAACAGAAACAGAGAGGGAAGGAGAGGGAGGGAGAACGAAAGCCGGGGAGAAGTGGTGACATGGAAGTGGTAACCTTAAAAATTAGTGAAACTGGCCAGGCGTGGTGGCTCACGCCTGTAATCCCAACACTTTGGGAGGCTGAGGCAAGTGGATCATGAGGTCAGGAGATCGAGACCATCCTGGGTAACACGGTGAAAAACTTAAGAGCGTTACAGATAGTCACAATTTTTTGATGGAAAGAGAATGGAGGAAGAATCTCTATCCCGTGGCATTGGACCCAGTTGATAAGGACCCTTTCAAGTCCCTGGGACTCATAGTGTTTTGGGGGTACAAATATACTATTTTTTTTCTGTTTTCCTACGATTTAGAAGTTTTTTGTTTTTTTTTTTCAGATTAAAGTCAATCAATATGGTACACACCTTACACCCCTCACCTAATTCTACGTATTTTTTCTTTTCTTTTTTTTTTTTTTTTTTTGAGACAGCGCTTGCTCCTCTCACCCAGGCTGGAGTGCAGTGCGTGCCGATTTCGGCTCACTGCAACTCACTCCCGGGTTCCAAAGGATTCTCCCCTGCCTCAGCCTCCTGAGTAGCTGGGGATTACAGGTGCCATGCCCACCATGCCCGCCTGATTTTTTTGTGTTTTTAGTAGAGGCGGGGT